AGCAAAAATTAGCCACTTCAGTTGACCATAACACAATTACAAGATGGTTYTTCCCCAGTTAGTATTTATACTGCATAGTAGCTAAAGTCCTAAATTATGTTTCAGTACACTTACTTTTTGATATCTGYTCAGTCACAATAGAAAGTTGACTACAAAAGCACACTTGGGTTTATGATTTATGTTTGTTAATGAAATTACAATACAGTCTTCCACCCTTATTTGTTATTACTCCTACGATAAACAAGCAATCCTGGGCAGCCATATTGAATCCGGTTGGGACTGGATCAATCAATCAATCAATCAATCTTTATTGTGCTCAATAGTTTACAGATATAAATAATAATAGTTGAAATTGCAGGTGATAAGAGCACAGCCAATTAGAAATAGCAATAGCTAATCGAGCTAAGTGGCTGGATACTAATAACTGGTTTCTGTGGGGGGAGGGAACGATTTGATTTGGATAGTGTTTGGGTTTCCTGTGTTGATATTAAAAATGGCAATCTGATGTTTCAATCGATTTTCGCCGGGTTCATAAAGACAAAATTTAATATCTCTAAGAGGCGAAATGTTCCTGAGAAATTTCTAAATCTTTTTCAAACCAGTAAGAATGCGGAATTTTTGTAAAAACCTGGCTATTAAGATAACCTTCATACTACGTATACGGTAGGTAGGCTAAAGCCTTGAACGCCTTCCTAATAAAGTATAAAGTGCCAATTGATAATGACAGAAAAATCATATGAAAATTTCTCAAATTCAATTTTTGTTTTGAAAATAATTAATATATTTGTGGAAAATTGTATATGACTCATAGTTGACTCGTGACTCATACTTGACTTGGGCTCGAACTTGCCTCGCTAAACCGGACAATTCTGCTCATTATATTAGCTTTGAAGGCCGAATTTGACCTTTTGTTTTTCTGTTAACCAGTCTACAATGTTTGAATGTTTGCTCTTTAAGTTATGAAGCTTTATACTACTATAATGTTACTCTGTGATGTCATCCCAGGCTTTATTAAATTATACAAATCTTGACCAGTTGGGAAATGAAGTTGTGATCAGAATTCAAGGGAAAGACCTGCACTACAGAGTAACCTAAGGATTTAAAGTAACACTTTGAAAAAAAAAATCAAAACAATCAAAGTAATGCAGAAAAAAATTCATGGCCATCAAAATTAATGACTTTTTTTGACATTTCTGAATTAAAAGCATGTGAGTAAGAGTTAGTAATAAGGATTTATGAAACTTTCAATCCGTGTGATGAAGTCAAAATGTGTACAATGTGAATTCATTATGTAACCCCAGGGGATGTACTCAGGTGGTAACATGACGGGTAGGGCCGACATATTTTTTTGGGTTGACTATAGACCCTTTTCGAATTCCAAATTACCGCTGTGTTTCTTGATTACGGACTCATTTGCACAGGGTTAGCCTCAAGTTTGTGCAGAATATTCACGTGTTCCATTCAAGGTCTGTCAGGTTTCAAAATGTTTGTATTGTTGAAGTTGTGCATTCTTTACTTTTCTGTTGGTATTTGTGAATATTCAAACACTGATCCGAGGCTAACCCTGTGCAAATGAGTCTGTAATCAAGGAACACAGCGGTAATTTGGAATTCGAAACTGGTCTATTTTCGTGCCCGGTATTTTTTGGGATCAATAATAAATCAGTTTCGAGGTATTTAAGTCTTGAATTTTTTTGGGCCCGAAATTAGGATGCATGTATTTTTTTGGGTGTTAAATTTCATGTTTGAGTATTTGTTTGGGGTTGCAATGTGAAACTCCGTCAGACCCACCCTGCTATTTTACTCCTCCGAGTACATCCCCTGGGTATATAACAGGTTGATTATTTCCCTAAATTTTGTGTCAATCATTCCCTTGCAATCACCATTTCTACAGTTTTTATTTATATAACAATCGTTGCGTTTCCACTAGGACATTTTAAACTAGTTTAACGAAAAAATACCGGAAACACCACTGGAAATGACTCCGAACTAACTTAAGCTAGTTTAATTAGTCAACTGTTTACATGCAAAAAAAAGCCGAGTTTAGTTGCTTCAACTCCGGAAATGACACCTTTGATAAGCGACCTAAAAGGATGCCTTAAGTTGGACTACCGCCGGCCGTGACCAATCAGAGCTCACCATTTGACAATTTGCTGTCAAAATGTTTATCTATATTAACTTGAAAAGCACCAGAGGGAAGAACGTGGGCTCTGTCTCTTGGTCTATCCTAACCTCAGATTGCGAAGAAATCGATTTCGCTTTCTCAAGAATAAAGCAAATGTTAAAAGCAGTGTTGTAAACACAAGCGCTTCTTGTCCCGCCACTTTTTGAATCTCGCGCTATGTATGGTAATGTGATCTGTCTAGTTTAAAATCTCCTCAAATTACATAATGGAAACAAGCTGCACATTTATTCTATCTAGTTTAAGCCGGTATGTAAACAAACACCTAGAAGAATTTTAAACTACCAAAAATGTCCTAGTGGAAACGCACCCAATATAATCTGTGGGCTCGTACTCTAACGATTATCTCAAAGCAAATGAAGACAGTGGTATTAAGGATACGCTACACAATAAAAATAACAATAAATTAATTGGTGTCTGAGTAAAGATTATAAAATCAAATACGACGTGGATATTTTTATGAATTCTTATACGTCCCTTTAATAATTGAAATAGAAAGTCGTGATCTGGAAGAATCGCTCGTGAAACTTTTGACTGCTTAATTCTTGAACGTCATTCTCGAAGTATGCGGCTGAAGACAACTTTAAACTTTAATACAAATCAAAAGCCAAATGTTTGGCAAATTAGGATTTGCAAGTTAAAGAATGTGGTGAATATTAGGCTATTTGCGTCTTTTAGGTTTATAAACTTAGAGCTTATCACAAACCTTTCTTTTGGTTAGTAAGCTTACCGTTGAAAGACTTACACGTGGGAGTGTTTTTCTTTAATATTTCTTCTCCGAGTACGCCATTTCATTCCAGGTTCGTATTCCCCAATCTCCATCCCAAGAAAGTCAACTTGGTTGAAAAAAAATCTTTGTAGAACAGTTACCAAAGCACGAGGAATATGCATCCCAGAGAAAATGGTGATTGAACACCTAATCAGCTCCTGTCTCCTGTGCGTACTCGATTTGCTTGCACGGTTTTCTGTGTCCAGTACGCGACTTTTATTCAGACTTCGCACGGTGGCAATCTCGTACCCAGAGCCCTTATTTCTTACTGCGCATGCTCGACGAAATAATTGGGCTCTGGAAAACTCCAAACCGGAAGACCCAGATTCTGGGTTTCTCGCACATGCGCACTATGACAGACTAGGTAAATTCAAAATGGCGGACGATGTTCAACCACAGGCTAACCACTCTAATAAATGAAGGAAATACTAAATGGTGTCTTGTCTTTGTCTTTTTATTCGCGCACGCTATCGATTTTTTGTCATCTCACCTACCCCCCTTGGTAACAATTTTGTTTTTCTACTATACAATATACTAACAAGGTAGGCAACTTCACGGGCTTCCTGNCAAACAGCGACACTCTTTTAAACAAGCGATCCGAATTGATCTCCAAATGCCGACATGAAAACAAGTTCTATCTGATGAACAATAGAAATCCAGGCCTAGCTAATTAACTCCTTTCCGAACAATACTTCTTTTGTAAATAATCATTACGCCTCTTGTATATAAATATCACAGTAATAGGAATATGTTTCATTAAAGTCTGTCTGATGAGTGCGTAAGCACGAAACTCGGAGTTACAGTGAACATGTCTCGTCTTTAATCCAATCTTTACTATATATCTATTGCTCTGCATCCCTACGCATCGAGCACTGTTTCAACAGTATAGACCACATTACATACTTTGTTATATATATTATATATATATATATATAAAATATTACATAAGATATATATACCTCTCGAAAGTTTGTACCTTTAATTTGTCCCGTTTCTTTTGTTTCGTTTCATTCTTTTTTTTACAATTCTTTTTTGTTTTTCTCAAATTGCTTCCGCCTCGAATAGAATACTTCTTTGAGAAGCTAAATTACTGAAAATTTGAGTAGACAAATAAAAGATCTTTTCACGGCATCTTTAACTTTCTAGGTCAGTTTATACACCCAAGTTATTCCTAATCCTGCACTGAGCCTTGAATTTCAGCAAAAACTAAGAAAGAATATGCGTAGACAATTTCCGCCACGTAATTCGCAGCCCCACCCCCAATCAATCACTTTGATAGTAGACTTTCATTGGTAACTGACACTTGAACATAAATCAGACTTTACGCGCATATCTGTATCATATGTCCGTAAAGGACTCTTGGGTTTTGCCGTAAATACCCTTGGATACTGTTGCGCAATTTTGGCATTTTCTGACGCAGAAAAGGCACGGAGACACGCAACCCATTTTTAGGGGCTGTTTATATGGAGCGAGCCAGCCCAGTAAGCGAGCTAGCCCGCTTGGCCGAGATGAATTTTGGATTGCGTTTATATGGGAAAATTCAGCCCGATTACCGGGATGAAATCAGTCATGTGATCATCCAGCCTCGTTAGCATACGAACTCGTCCCGCGAAAATAAAATAAAAAACATGGCGGCATGCGCAGTAGGATCAAATCCAGCCCGCTTACCGGGCTGGCTCGTTTATATGGGAATTTTTCCATCCCGCTTGCCGAGATCTCGGCACCGCCCAACCGAGATCTCGGTAAGCGGGCCAGCCCGTCTCCCCATATAAACATTAAAATAAGGTTCAATCTGTTGGGTTCGAGTTACGTAACTCGAGTTTGATTTCTAACTCTGTTTGTCATCGAGTTAAGCACAGATGTCAAAGTGGGCGTGGCCCGCAAAACATGGGTBTGTCCGAGCGCGTAACTCGAAAAATGTGTAACTCCAAAATCGTAACTCGAAGAATACCTTATCTCGGCTGGCTCGCCTCCATATAAACAGCCCCTTAGACAGGGAACCCAGTAACAAACTTATTTCATCAAGCATGCGCAGTAAGGATGTCGGGGAATAACATTGGGCTTGTTCTTGGTAGCGATAGCAGTTGTGCTTTTGGTTTTTATGGTCTTTCAAATAATATCTTGTCAATTTGTTTGATTTTCCTGCACAGACACACTGTTTTCTGGTCAACTGATACGTGAGGTAAGTCAGGAATGATGTATTGGATTTCTTATTGGATATTTAGTGCTGTTTGTAGGATCAAAGTGCTGATGAGTACTCGAGATCACTCTAGTCATTTGTAAACGATATCAAGAAATAATCGGTATGAAATTGAGAAACGAAGACAAGTATGCAAATAAAGTTCAATGTAGGAGCTTTATTGTATTCAAATACGCTTCGTTACTAGTTTTATTTTGTCAAACAATTCTATAGTGAGGTGTATTCGAGAACTTTGGTGAATATATTGATGCGAATATAAGCTTACTACTGCTTTACTGTGCATCAAACTGAACAATATTAAACAAACTTGAAGCAAAGTTATCATCCTAGACAATTTTTATGGATTTTGAAATAATTTTACATTCAAGTTTTTGACTTTAGTTCACTATTAGGGGTTGAAATATCTTCCAATAGACTGGCAAAGCTACAAGAAGGAAGCCATCTTGCTTTTTCCACAGGGAGCCCAAGATTTAAAAAATCTTTATCGCTATGAATTCTACAGCGTCAATAATAATAATAATAATAATAATAATAATGACGAACTTGGACAGTTGGAGGAAGAACTCAATAATGAGAGGAAAAAATATGGGGAAAAAATGAAGAAAAAAAGCAAAGGAAAAATGGGCATTTAGCTAGGAGGGAGGGGGATTTTGCTCATCCTATGCAGCCCTCATCACCACCACCAATAACCTTTGTTTTAACACAGAGTCTTGTCATACTTTATGCTCTTCCAGAGAGCAGTTAGGGGCGAGGTCAAAACAATGGTCCAAAATAGGGACCCGATTTTATGAATTAAGGTGGTGGGTACCGGTACATACCCCCTCCCCCCTCAGAGACTTGTTCAAATGCTCAATACTGGGGGTCTGTAGTGGCAATTTCTATACACAAATATGTTTTTTTAGCATACGTGCAGACAGGTAGTCTATTCATTTTTATGGGTTGGCTTTTAGTTTTGGAGATGTTTGGTGACAAAATCTAAGATTTCACTTCCAGAGGTGGTGGGTACCGGGTAACACCACCCTTCCTCCCTAAATCAGGTACAGTGAGATGACAATTGTTTTGCCCTCATCCCTAACATAAAACTAACAATAAATAATAATAATATAAATTTAAAAGCTAAAACTAAAGCCTAAAATTTTATGCATAATTACAATATATAAACAAATTGCTTACAATACTCCAGTTTCGAGTTGTCTTTGCTCAGCCTTAGTCTAGGTTGTGTGTTATAATGTTCAGCTATTCAACCAAAACCTGTGGCATATTAATCAACTCATATTGTTCTGTAGTGCGTACATTCCTTGCTATACAATGGACCTTAATGAAAGAAAATACCACATTTGTACACAATCTAATCACAGGCTAAGACTGAGCAGAGGTGAACTCAAAATGGGAGTATTAGGTGCTCATCTCTGATATTGATTTTAGTTATTCCACAGATAGGCCCCCTCACAGGAAAAAAAAACGGATTCCCAATTTGGGAATTTCCTTGAATTCCCAATGAATGCCCATCCAATTCCCAGAGAGAACGAAATTGGTAACGTGGCACTGATTCTTTCTATTGGATATTAGAAGGAAATTCCCAACAATAAATCCCAACGTTGGTGTTAGAATTGGGAATTCAAGGGAATTCCCAATAATTCCCAATTTGGGAATCCGGTTTTTTTCCTGTGCCTGTAGGAAATTCTTTGTTTTAGGCTTTAGTATTTGTTGTAGGTCAGTGATGAGCCCATTTTGAAAGCAATGCAAGAATGAATGAATGAACCTTGTGCATATACTCAAAGAGCTCAGAAAGATAACTTGGAATATGGTCACTTCAGATTTTATACATGAGACTGGCCAATTCACCTTTTCGGCGCTAGCTTGGATTGTGTTACAGTCACCAAAAAGTTCGGACATCATTCTCAGATTTCCATACAAATTCACTGACTTTAAAGAGAAAATTTGGGTACAGATTTCTTTAGTTAGCTCTCTTAACAGCAGTAAGAAAAGCTTCAATCAAGCTAGAAAAATGATTTCTTACTTGTATTTAGAGAACTAACTAAGCATTAACCAAGTAAATAGTTCATTTAGAGTCAGTACATTTGTATGGAAATGAAACAACAATGTTCTAACATTTTGGTGACAGTAACACAATCCAAAACAATTTATACTCGGTGACGGCTAGCGGTGAAAAGGTGAATTGACTTTTGTACCTTTCATTAAGGTCTTTCCAGCCAAGTTGTTTTAGACTGATCTGACTCCAAAGTTTGATCCAGTTATAATTCTAGCAGCTAGTCTTGAAGCTTGCTCTGAACAATCATAACTTAACAGAAAGACAATATCAATTTACTTGTTTACAAAATGATGTCCATGAGATGTGAGCTAATGCTCAGTATCACTGTATCACTTGTATTATAATCATCATCATCATCATCATCACCACAGATGATGATGATGATGGTTAACATTATAGATGTTGCTCAACATCAAAGAAAGATGCTTTTACATACGCTCATATAATTTCCTTGGTTTATGAAAATTTAGGGTTTCTGCATAAACTCAATTAAAGAATCGTTGTCGGGCTCAGAAACATAGAAAATAGAAGCTGTGACCGAAATGGCACATGGGAAATGACAATTAAAWTATAATTTATTCATTTGGCTGATAACCAATATAAATACCCTGCATTGATTGTCCTTGCTCTGCAGTCTTAGTTGGGCTCATAACCAATATAAATACCCTGCATTGATTGTCCTTGC